TCCTGGATTTGCCTTCTCAACAAAAATGTAAGAGTCGAATAATTTCCGTCGAAACGGAGGGCGTTTGCTTGAGAGGCATGGAACCAAAAATCTACATACAAATAAGTCAGATCTGTTAAACGGATATGCACGCAACATTCAGGTTCTGGAACAAGACTAACGTCGAGTGATGGACAAACAGCCAGAAATTTCCGCAGTAGTTTACAGCCGGTACATGCACTTAAGACAAGTCCCACGTTTATGAATTTAAAAAATTAATTTCGTGTGAGTGTATGTATGGGGAAAAGGGGAGTTTGGGAGGGAGGGGGGGGGAAGAGATAGAAAATGAGAGAAAGAGAGAGAGAAAGAGAGAGAGAGAGAGAGAGAGAGAGAGAGAGAGAGAGAGAGAGAGAGAGAGAGAGAGAGAGAGAGATATTAAGATATTTATATGGGAGCCGCGGTAGAGTAGTGGGTTATCGTGTGCCGACGAGCAGGTTTTCGGTTCGAATCCGCTTCACGTCGGATATCTTAATTACAAGCATCACCCTGGCTTCCATGTCGACCCAGCCTAAAATGGTACCAGATAAAGTCATAGGGAAGTAAAGGCAGCCGGCATGACATCGACCACATTACCCACCAAATGCCTGATGCTCCACTGGTGGGAACAAGGCCGTTTACTTGACGTTCCCATGCAAGTGAGCTAGCAGGAAGCGAAAAGGGAACCACAAGGAGCCAGACGATACAAGAAATGTGGTTAGGACAAGTACATTTCTGCATTAGTTGCAGATAAACGGAGAATGGATCATGCAGGCATTGTAAGTGTCCTTGGAGAGATAGGACGTTGCAAGGATTTTAGAAGCTACACGTCCACATCACTGCTAAGAATACGATAATTTGGAGTATAGATCGGCACAGCCAAGCATGAGAAGCACACAGGACGCACACGAAGCCTTGTTATCAAGTATAGGACTGACACTATTAATCGAACGAATGTGATGAATATGTTGAAAGGTGGATCTGAGCACCTATGGATGCATCTGGAGTGCTGTGAAGATAATCCAACCCATAACGAAAATGCTCCCCCGCTGAACTGAAAAAAGAACAAGAAAATGTAAGGAAAGACAAGGGTTCATTACGTGCAGGGAGCAAAAATTATTACCTATGGCCCAGGCAGTGGATATGTATGTAAGTTATGCGACAACAGATAACAGCATGTTAGTTAGTCTACAGAGCATCCTGATGTCAGACGCAATTTTTGTTGTTGTTTTAAAGCCACACCTGGCTGTTGCCAGAAGCCTTAATATAACCCAACTAGTGGGTTAAACGTGGTTTCTGGGACCTGTCCCCGGGTGATCCTCATCCGAATAGTTGCACTTTGTGTCACAAGATGATAATCACTCAGTGTGTTGTCCTGGTGGGGTTGAAAGTCAGCCAGTCAGATAACCGCATAGGCAGCATCCAGACATAACACGAACTTAAACTACAAGTTCTGTTGTGAATTAAACCAAATAGAATACAAAGATCACACGCAGCAGATATTTATTTTTTGAAACATGAAACCAGCTCCTCGGTCACTCAATAAACCTTTTCTTCAAATAGCTTGGACACTAACACAGTCTCTCCTTAGGCTCACCTCTCTCGAAGGTCCAGAACTGACTATTTCGTCCCACTAGATAGTGTCATTTCTTTGTCTGACCATGCCTAGATCTCGTGGCCACAACGACATTCCGCCGTGCGCAGGTTCGCCTCCAGGTGTGGTCGACCTTTACCATAGGCTGCACCAGATGACTTCATTTTTCAGTGTAAAGAAGAGCCTATGAATTCTAGGTTGTACTATCAAGGCTACGATTGTGTATTAACTAGCTGAGCAGGCATCCCCATGATTGACAAACTAGAGTTTTTTCGTTATGTTCTGAATATGAAAAAAATAAACATAGTTGTCGCGGTCGTCGCAGTAGTAGTAGTAGTCGTCGTAATAGTGGTAGCAGGAGTAGTAGTGGTAGTAGTCGTAGTAATAATAATATAGTAGTAGAAGGAGGAAAAGTTGTTGTGAACCAATGTGGTTCTTTGCATCAGCTTCAATTCTTCAGCTGCATAAAAACGTCATGAATCATTTTTCTTTCGTTTCGTGTTGAATTGTCTTCTGTAGATATATATATAATCGAATGTACTCCTGTTCCTCGTCTTACCTACCATCATATCTTTATCTGCTACAGATGCTGCTGTTCTTCCTCCTACAACATCTACTGTCTCTGTGGCTGCAACAGGTTGATTCATATCATTGATACTTTTAATTGACTTAATATTTCTTTTTATTTTGTATTTACTAGTATTCTCAACAAACTTCATTTTACCTGCCAAAATGTTCACGTCTACACGGTTATCGGGATTTGCTCCCGTGTGTCCTATCCATGAGTATCGCCTTTATATCATCTCTTCTTCGTTCATGGCAACTGGTCAGTTCTTGTCAAAACTACACACCAGTTATTCTATCCTACGAGGCAATTCTGTCCATTATGCACAGTCATGAATTAAGGAATTAACTCTCAGGGTAATTATTCTCACAGTGTCTTGGTTTTTAAGTTTTTCCCTTCCAGATCTGCATTCTTTAGGATTAACATCTAAAGGGAGAAAGTCAAACAGAAAATCCCTGAAACCTGGTGCAAGTGTATAGCTGTAAAGCACAGACAGTTATAGTGGGGCACCACAAAACGGCTAGGAAGTAACACGCAGTGCAGTGTGGGTGGGTTGTGTATAATTGAATTCTCATAGATTATGACTTGTGGCGCTTTCCATCACGAATGTCCACAGCCTTCGATATGTTGTATTATCACACATTTCTGACTGAAATATTCTTTCACAACATGATGCCAAGATGACTAACATCCTCTGTCTTGATCTCCCTTCGTCTCTCTTTCCCATCCAATGTTTTTATTGTCACTATGTTCTTCAGTTTTTCCCTGACAGACTTCTCGCAGTTTGTCCATCCAGTATTCCCGCCTGCTGACAGACTCAACGAGGTTTGACCATTCAGTATTCCCGCCTGCTGACAGACTCAACGCGGTTTGTCCATTCAGTATTCCTGCCTGCTGACAGACTCAACGCGGTTTGTCCATTCAGTATTCCCGCCTGCTGACAGACTCAACGCGGTTTGTCCATTCAGTATTCCCGCCTGCAGACAGACTCAACGCGGTTTGTCCATTCAGTATTCCCGCCTGCTGACAGACTCAACGCGGTTTGACCATTCAGTATTCCCGCCTGCTGACAGACTTCTCACGGTTTGTCCATTCAGTATTCCCGCCTGCTGACAGACTCAACGCGGTTTGTCCATTCAGTATTCCCGCCTGCTGACAGACTCAACGCGGTTTGTCCATTCAGTATTCCCGCCTGCTAACAGACTCAACGCGGTTTGTCCATTCAGTATTCCCGCCTGCTGACAGACTCAACGCGGTTTGTCCATTCAGTATTCCCGCCTGCTGACAGACTCAACGCGGTTTGTTCATTCAGTATTCCCGCCTGCTGACAGACTCAACGCGGTTTGTCAATTCAGTATTCCCGCCTGCTGACAGACTCAACACTGTTTGTCCATTCAATATTCCCGCCTGCTGACAGACTCAACGCGGTTTGTCCATTCAGTATTCCCGCCTGCTGACAGACTCAACACGGTTTGTCCATTCAGTATTCCCGCCTGCTGACAGACTCGACGCGGTTTGTCCATTCAGTATTCCCGCCTGCTGACAGACTCAACGCGGTTTGTCCATTCAGTATTCCCGCCTGCTGACAGACTTCTCACGGTTTGTCCATTCAGTATTCCCGCCTGCTGACAGACTCAACGCGGTTTGTCCATTCAGTATTCCCGCCTGCTGACAGACTCAACACGGTTTGTCCATTCAGTATTCCCGCCTGCTGACAGACTCAACACGGTTTGTCCATTCAGTATTTCCGCCTGCTGACAGACTCAACGCGTTTTGTCCATTCAGTATTCCCGCCTGCTGACAAACTCAACACGGTTTGTCCATTCAGTTACATTGGATTCAAGCTACGGTCAGTAAGCCATGACCTTATTGTGTGCTCTCATCAACACTGAAAGATCTTATCATTCATTGTACCTTTATGCAATTATTTGTCACATAGGGCTCGCATTCTATTCATCCATTCTGTTCTATCATGTGCAATCAGTTCAATATATTGATTCGAATCCAGTCCAGCAGCTTTGGCCTCTCTCGTGAGTGTTCGTTTTAAGGTTTCTTTGTGGCTTTCTCGCGTTCTCAATACCTTTATTTCCTCATTTATTGCCAGTTTTGTAATTCCTGTTCCCTACCCCCCCCCCCCCCCCGGGATTTGTCCAGTATAGCACAGTTGTCTTTGTCATATAACTGTTGTCACCAGTGGCTAACCTGATATTTTCTCATATTTTTCAGTCTTCATGAATTCATCTCATTTTAGTTTCAAAATGTGGCGCAGACGTTTATTGTCAAATGCATTCAACCTTCGTTCCATCTTTTTTCCATCCGTTCTCCGACTTTCTCGGCATTTGTTAAAACTGAAATAACATTTCAATTGAAAATACGGAACTTGATTTTCATAGATTTCAAGCCTTAAATGTATTCCGTACAACGGGAAGGGGCAGCCTGCCTCTTGTCACCTCTCACGAGTCATTCATCAGCTGAATGTCGTGTTTCAGACTTCGTAGTTCAGTCCCCACGTGCAGGTGTTTTGGAAAACCATCAAGATATTCGCTGGAGCTACGGAGTTCGTGCTCTTTATAACGGCCTGCGAAGAGAGACTGAAGCAAAATAGGATAAACCCCGATACAATTTATATCGATCTACATGCTTTTAAAATCGATCTTCTTGCCGTTGAATATTCTCTTTTACAACCTTTTATCATTGCCTTTCTATGTACGACCATCTTCTTTCCATCAAGTTCCAGGTAGTATCATGTGCCACATAGCCACGCAACTACACCTTAGTATTAACCACATTGTTGTCACCATCATGCAAATGTGTTTCCTCCCACAGCGCCACCGGTGGAAGTCGAGTTTGAGATGGAGGTCCCGACAACAACCACAACCAGTCGACCCCCTGCTAACTACCAATGGGGACAGTATAGTAGGTGTCCAACCCCCAGCTCACCACGCCCAGTTTTTCTTCTCCAAAACCCACCAGTTAAAAGTTTAAAATCAAACACTCGGTTAGGTCGATAATTGTTTAATTACAATCAAACACTGTGTTTTCTGGATAACTGTTTACCGCATTAGCTGACTCATAATAATATTGATTTAAAATAAAGAGATAACGTGCTAATTTATTCAAGTGAAAATTTCAGTCTGTACACGGCTAAATAAAATAGATACACTATGAAAAAAAAATGACGTTGTGATGTAGTGTTAAATAACCTATGATGTGAATTTTAACAGAAAAACAAATAGTTATTGCTAACCCTGAGATATGTAGAAGGTATAGGTTTAAATGAAAGCAAAAGAATTCCATTAATGGTATATCGCCCTAAAACAGAACATTAAAAATGCACATAAATATCTTTTGAGATTAAAGTTTAACTTCGGGTGAGAACAAATCTGCGTTAATTTTACCTAAAGCATAAATAAATTGCTAATTAAACGGAGAATCACAGAATTAAAAAAATAGAGCCAAGGAGAGAGATCTCTGTAAGTTGACTGTTGACCCTGGGTATGATAGAACAATTCATGCATGCTTTAGATGTCTTGTTGTACAGTTTTTGTACGTGCCTTGAACACAACTTGTGTATCTAACAGGCAAGGTACCAGATGCAGTGTATGTTTTTGTGACTTTTTCAACTATACGCTTTCTAATTCACGCTTGGCTTGCTTTAGTAACCACGAATATCTAGCATCACCATGTGCCCTTACAACTACTTCTGGATCAGAGTTGAGTTTATTGAAAGTATTTTATTCTTTTTATATAACTAATTTATTATTCTGTATGTGTGTCCACCCCCATCTCCCACCCCCTTCAGTCTTGAACAATTACCCAGACTTGACTGATTATATTCTTGGCATCAGATAACTGTGACCTTTGACACAACTGAACTGTCCAGCACCTCTTGACCTGTGATAGTTTAATAATATTATATCGTTTCTCAGAAGCTAAAACACTTCAGCCCCATTAAACGCCATACTGGGGTTAGGAGAGAAGAATAAAGGTTGGCATTACCCTGGTAGAAGAGGCAAGCATGACAATAAGCCCAGGATATCAAGCAAGGTTTAGACCATTCGTTTACTGACCTGACTAAGCAAGGTTCAGACCATTCGTTTACTGACCTGACTAAGCAAGGTTCAGACCATTCGTTTGCTGACTTGATTGAGCAAGGTTAAGACCATTCGTTTACTGACCTGATTGAGCAAGGTTAAGACCATTCGTTTACTGACCTGATTGAGCAAGGTTAAGACCATTCGTTTACTGACCTGATTGAGCAAGGTTAAGACCATTCGTTTACTGACCAGATTGAGCAAGGTTAAGACCATTCGTTTACTGACCTGATTGAACAAGGTTAAGACCATTCGTTTACTGACCAGATTGAGCAAGGTTAAGACCATTCGTTTACTGACCTGATTGAGCAAGGTTAAGACCATTCGTTTACTGACCAGATTGAGCAAGGTTAAGACCATTCGTTTACTGACCTGATTGAGCAAGGTTAAGACCATTCGTTTACTGACCAGATTGAGCAAGGTTAAGACCATTCGTTTACTGACCTGATTGAGCAAGGTTAAGACCATTCGTTTACTGACCAGATTGAGCAAGGTTCAGACCATTCGTTTACTGACCTGATTGAGCAAGGTTTAGACTATTCGTTTACTGACCTGATTGAGCAAGGTTTAGACCATCACCCGGCGGCAATTTATTTTTTCAGTATCTGTAGGGCCCCAGCTTGACACAGTGAGTACCAGAACATAGTGAGGAAAGTGAGCAGGTTTTGAGTCACTTACCACATCGATTATCGAGTCCAATTCGGTCGAGCAAAGATGGCTCTATTACCACATGATCATCTTGCCTCGATAGAATGTTAACCTTTCTTTCACCTGGCCAGCTTAGGACCATCTGGTATCTTATTCCCGTCAGTATTACTCAACACGTTGTGACTGATTCGTAGAGTCCCAACCGTCGCGTTAAGTGTTCTCTTCTTTTTTTAAAAATAACTTTTAAGTTAGAAAACACTAAAGAGATCTTGGCATCAAGAGGGAAATTCAGTGTGTTTTTATCATATTTAAAACCACCGGACTAATGACTGCTCTGAGCTGCTGATGTGTCCATTATATTTGGAATTGCATGGTACGCAAAAGCGACGATTAAGAAAACTGGCCACTTCATCCCATATGCCGTGGTTTAGAATATGTCAATACACATCACACCCAAAGGCAGTGTGTGTTTTTGAGAAATACAATTAACCCCGATTTTATTTGTTGGTGGGTACTTTGCGACGAAGCAGTCTGTTGTTAAAGGGTTATCACAAATTATCAAATGAATCCACTGGGCTGTTGCTAAGAAGCTTAACAAAGGTGGGAATGCGACAAATAGAATGCAAGAACAATAGGATGTTTCAGCGGCAGCCTTTATTGAAACACACCCACCCACCCACACATACACACCCACCAGACCCACACACTCCCACCCACATACACTCACACACACACACACACACACACACACACAAAGCAACAACAACAAAAAGGGGGAGAGTATCCTGGTGAGATAATAATAAGCAGGTCCGCCTATATAAATAGAGAAGGCCGTGATAAGTAATGCTGAGGTGGGAAAAGAGGTGTGACGATTTGGTCGCGCTCTGATGTTCGTGGGTTTGTTTCACAGTTGAGTCGTTCGGTTCACCAGTGCAAATGTTTCGGAGACCAAAGTTATGGTGTTCCTGCTTTGCGCAACGCACTTGGCAGGCGATCAGCTTTTCTGCAGTGAATATATATATATATATATATATATATATATATATATATATATATATATATATATATATATATATATATGTGTGTGTGTGTGTGTGTGAATATATATATATATATATATATATATATATATATATATATATATATATATATAGAGAGAGAGAGAGAGAGAGAGAGGGAGAGAGAGAGAGAGACTGAGCCATATGGCTTATAACGCAGCACAACGATTGTCGAGCCTTTGGACTGTAGGCTTTCACGTTTAAATAAGTAAACTAAAATTATAAATCCCTTCTGGGATGAAAGGGCGGCATGGAAGGCAGTTGGTTGCATCTGTTTAATCTGCTGCTATCAAGTATCTGGCAGGTTACTTAGATATAAATAGCGTTTTCCGGCCCAAGCACTTTAGGACTGACCGTTCATTCATGCTTGCTGACCTTTCACACGCTTTCACCGGCAGTGTCGCATGCTCTATATTACACGATGTGACCGCTAGAACTGGCGCCCACCCCCCCCTCCTCCTCCTCCCCGTAGTTATGCAGTTCATTCCGTTTGGCGTAGGTATTCATGTCGAATCAAAACCTTTTGTCTCTAGTAACTTTCAGTCAACTCTGACACAGATGATTCTCCATGACATGATATACAACTGTCCAGCATCTGTTCTCTAGGTCTCCCTCTGCCTCTCTTCCCCTCCAGTTTTCATACTGTCATGATGTACTCCAGTTTTCCCCCACCCTACAGTTTCATCCTACGTTCCACGAGAGACTGCAGCCTACGTTCCATGGTTTCAGAACTGCATTTTGCGGTCGGCTTTAAAAGAAACACAGCGTGACTCCCCTGTAACTAAGACTAGCTCATGTGAAAGCTTAGCAAGCATGAATGAACGGCAAATCAGGGTGTGTATCTGGTGGAAAACGTTACTTGAACCCTTAGCCAAAACAGCGATGACTGCAGCCAAGCAGCATCAAAATATTATTCCGCTGAATTTGGAATAAGAAGCTTAACACAGACAGAAACAAGGACTAAAAACAGTCCACTCGCACAAGAACGATGGGACGTTAAAGACAATGAGACCTTAAAGTCTGCTTTCACAACGTCCAATTGTTCATGCATGTGTTTTCGCCCCCTGCTTACCTTCGTTGAGCTGCTTTGTCACGGCTCACTGGATTACTGTCTGAACGCTTGGCCAGGAATGTGTATAAGGCAAAAGAGCTGGGTATGGGTTGTTTTCTTCAAGCCTTCTGTAAAAGGAGCGACGTTCTGTAGAAGTTACATGATGATGATGATGATGATGATGAGGTTACTTAACATTGCTCGCTTATGTACGCAAAGACATCTGGTAAATTCATTAGCAACAGTATAAAAAAAAAATACTTTCAAGATTTCGGCAAAATATGTTCAAAATATCGTAAAACCCTAGATTGATTTCGTACGTTCACTATATCAAAAGACAAAACTTCCCCTTTCTGCGTCCCATGCAAATCGTTGTTTTCTATATTGTTAATTTATTCATAAACTATTTACTGGAGCAGAACACGAAAGTATGTGCGTGCGTGTGAGAGTGTGTGTGTGTGAGAGAGATATTGTGTATGTGTGTGTGAGAGAGAGTGTATGTGTTTATTTATATTATATTAATATATATATAAATATATATATATATATATATATATATATATATATATATATATATATATATATATATATATATATATATATATATTTGTGTGTGTGTGTGTGTGTGTGTGTGTGTGTGTGTGCTTATGCAGATATGTTAACAAAAACGTGTTAGGAATTTTAAGGCGGATAGTAACTGAGCATATTGTCCAGATTAAGGCGTTACCTTCGTTGTATTTAAACAACTCACTACTCCTTCAAGGGCGCTGCAGTGATGTAGCGGCTAGATGCTCGTCTGCAGCACCGAGGGCCGGGAGTTCATGTCCGGACGGAGACAGACTTATTTTTTTTAACAATTAAATGGATACGAGGAAAAATTCTAAGAAGTAAAGACGGCCGGCGTGATACTGACCACATCATCCGCCAAGTGCTAAAATTCAACCCGCGAGCCGCCGTAGAGCGCAGTGTCTAGACGCTCGCCTGCCTAGTAAGGGTGGCGGGTTCAAATCCTCATCGAATCGGGTATTTTCTCAAAACTGGCCTTGGCACACAGGTCGACACAGC